ATAAGCCTTAAAAATAAACTTTAAAAAAAAAATGTTTGCATAAAAGTCAACTATTCACTTTGCTCTCAAATTAACTGTTAACCTCATAACTTCCATTTTTAACCCATTAATGGAACAATGAATGACCATATTTAAAAATTATAAAGAAATAAAGGAAAATTACTTAAAATTGTACATTATATATAATATATAAATATATAGGCAACACTTTACAATAAGGTTCCATTAGTTAATGTATTAACTAACATGAACAATACATGTTTAGTTATTACAGTATTTGTTAATGTTAGTTAAAGAAAATATAGTTGTTCATTGTTAGTTCATGTTATTTCACAGTGCATTAACTAATGTTAACAAGCACTTTTAATTTTAATAATGTATTAGTAAATGTTGAAATTAACATTAAGATTAATCAATGCTGTAGAAGTATTGTTCATGCTTAATGTTAACTAATGAACCTTATTGTAAAGTGTTTTTATATATATATATACATATATATATAAATTTCCTTTAATGTTTCTTCATTTATTTCATTTTAAATTTTATTTTATTTAAATTTTATTTTATTTTCATTTTAAATACGGCCATATATACATAAAGAGAATGTTCAAAAACATCAAAAACATCAAAAACAGGAATTTATTGAAGCTTTCCATAGGATTAGGTAGGGACAAACATTTACAGGTACTTTAACAGAACCAGTACTGAGAGCAGATTCCTTTCTCTCCATTAGATTGCTAGGCAAAGAATCATTCCTCTTAAGCACAGCTCCCTCTCAAGACCATCTACAGAGGCACTCAACTAACGCAGTCATGTTTACAGTGGAGCAAAGATGTCATACAGTTATAGAAAATAGATGAGGGGCGGTTTTAACCATTACATATACAATGCTGTGTGTGTAGTTACCTCAGGAGCAGAACCACAGCATACAGCATCCATGAACACAACTAAAACACGTACTTCAAGATGATGCTGTACTGAAAGAACAGAAACAAAACACGAAGAAAAAATACAGGGTACAAATTATGTTCCAACAAAAACTTGAATAGGTAAATTTCACGGTGCAAAAATGAACGACACATTACTCTTGGTAACAAATTTTGCTTGATTGGCATATGTTATCATTTTTAAACAGACCACTAATGACATTGCAAAACAATATCAAATACCTCAAGGACAATTGTGTGCTCAAGTGCAATTTTCAGCCCTAACTCGAGTGGCATCTTGTACGTACATTTTATGGCTTACTGGGTAAACAGGTCTATATAAACTTTAAAGTTACAGAGACACGGCTTATAAACAAACTATGCTACAATAATATATTGGCGAAAAACTAATAACCAGCTAATAACCATACATAGTGTAAACATGGTAAACCACACTGTACATCCTGTCCATGATATTTACAAGTCAGTTTGTTGACTTCCCCGTGTAGTAGACAATCGCAAAAGCGCCAGATCACGGTGCTGAGCTAGTTCAAACATCTGCTGCACTAGCTTCAAAAAGCCCATAAAGCCCAAAGACATCACACTCTGAAAACATTAAAACACCACACACTTCTGACTCCTGCACTTACACGTCTGATTTAAAAAAGGTCGTCCTTTAACATAAGGCAAATTCACACCATAAGGTGCCTTGTTCTTAACAATACCATGATATAGTATGTGGGGAGGACTTGATGGCTCTTTGGGGTAAATGCACTTTTTAAACAGCATCAGAGTTTGCTTTCTTCCCATCTCTCATTATATGCAACAAAACATCTGAGTGCAACACAGGAGCGCTTCTACTACATCAGGAATTGTGCAAAATCTGCTCTAAAACAAAGTGACAGTGTTGCGAATTCTACTGTACTAAGGTACTGGGAGAAGGGATCTTGTAGAAACCCAGTGAAGACCCTCAATCTGACATATATACAAGGCACTAAGGAGAGGAATGAAGGGCCTTTCACGAGGATCCAGTAGAAGTCCTTTAGTCAGGTCTGAATATAGGATACTTTGGTAAGAACTCTATAAGAATCACCTGTAGACAGAAAAATAGGCAATGTTAAAGTCCCCATGAAATCAAAATTAAAGTTTTTTGGGTGTTAGTATCAATATGTTAGTCTTAAGGTTAT